CACCTTATCCCCTGTCTCTTATACACATCCGGCAATGATAAGATCAAACCCGCAGATCCAAAAGATCTGTGTGATTGAGATCCTTGAGCACCTTATCCCCACAACCTCCCTCTTCGCCGATGTAGGGCCAATGCGCAAAGTTTTCAAACACTGTCACGATGTTCAATCGCCGATCCCTGAGCACCTTATCTCCACAACCTCCCTCTTTGCGGCGGACATGAAGGTAAATTGGGGAACCAAAACGGAAGGCTGGTGGCTCCACTGTCACGATGTTCAACCGCCGGTAGATCCTCTTGTGGTGTGGAGACAAAAGAACGCAGCCATCCAAGTACCAGGAGTCAACCTCACGGCTCTCGGCCCACCGACAAACCATGGGGACACGCTGGTGGACCTCACCGCACAATGGATGGCAAGGTGGGACTCCAAATCGACCTTTTTGGTCGGTCGGGCTCTTGCAATCAACAACTCAATCCTTGCCTCCATCTGGTACAAAGTGGCCTTCTGGCCGCCGACTGAAAAACAGCTCACCAAGCTGCGACAAGCGGTTGTCGCCTATATGTGGAAAAATTATCGCAGTGACACCCGTTGCATAAAATGCCTACCCTGGGAGGTATTTGTTCTACCATTGGCAAGGGGTAGAGGGGGGTTGGGTATTATCGGCCCGGGCAAGGAGATCAGAGCGCTGCAGATCAAGTTCCTCATTAGACTGCTCCTGGGTAATGACATCCCATGGGCTCCCTATGCACTCATCCGGATTGTCTGCCCGGCCCCGACATCACCCCCCCGGACCGTCCAGTGCACCTAAGAGTGGACCATTCCTGCATGCCCCCGAGTGAATTCGGACTTCTCTCCAGTGGGCCAAGCAAGACGGGACCTACGTACATACCCCATGTGGCCAGCGATGCTCCGCTTATGGAAGGACTACGGAATGAAAAGGACACTTGTGCCACTCAGATGGCATGAAATTAGAAGGCAACCCTTATTTGGGCACCCCCAACTGCTGGACCATACAGGGTCCCCCTTCTCCCTTAATCGTAAGTCTAAATGGTTGAGGTGGGCCAAGAAGGGCATTTATATAGTTGGGGACCTGTGGAATGACGGCGAAATAGCTTGGCACACTTGCGAAACAATCTTGCTGACGACAGGACCGCTTCCCAAACTAGAGCAAGATTTTTCAGAACTTCAGGAAGCGGTCCCTTTGCGTGGGTGCTTGCCTTCCGAGAAGGCCCCAAGATGATTCAAGGTGACTGGGTGGTGCGTACTGAAACACTGCACCTAGCCATGGCTGTCTATAAGGTGGACCAGGTGCTATCCCCCATGTCTCTGCAACTCAGGGCACACACTCTGCTTCTACCGAGGCCAAGATGGTCTGAGCTCCATAGGAAGGAGCGGCTCGACACCCACAGCCCACCAGACTCCCTTATCCGGGTAGGACAAAGATGAGACTCTATATGCCTTTGAACCGACCGTCCCCCTCTCCCACCTCCCCTTTGACCCAGCATAATGGGAATGGAAATGGGGGAAAACTTCAACAATGCACCCGTGGCAGTATTCTGTCAAAAAAGGATACAGGACAATGCAAAAGCACATACCGGTCAGGGATACGGTCCTTAGACGGTGGGAAAGAGACTCTACTTTAAAGTGTACAGACCTCTGCACCTTTAGGTGGTCAGCCTACTCCCATATCAGACCGACCAGTCACAAAGCTCTCCAATGGCAGATTATCCACAGGTGCCTGCCCACCCCTGACTGGCTGACTGAAAGAACCGACCTGGAATAGAAGGGAATGTTGTCGCCACTTTGCATTTTCTGTGAACTCATCCCCCCCAGAAAACGTGCCACCCTGGCGCACTGTCTACTTGACTGCCCCATGGTGACTCGTCTCGGGAGGTGGTGGGATGCGGCCTAGCACTACTTCACCGGTCAGCATTTCCCATGGGATGTGAGGACTATCCTCTTTGCGATCCTCCCATCTGAAGGAATTAACTGGACGCTGTTTATGTTGAACCTGTTCCAGTACTCCCGTCTGCTCCGCTCATGATAGCATGGCGGATGTGGTGCTCCCAAGAGAGGAGACAACACACATTCAACTTTATGCAAGCAAGGACGGTTATAGCTGACACAATATTATGCCAGACACAATCCGTCTGGACGTACTTACAAACGAGACTTAGAACTGAGTCGGAAGAGCCTAAGAGGTAACAACTGCTGGAAATTTTCAGAGTTAAATGGGTGGACCAGAATTGCAGATTATGTAGTTTCGACCAGTCTAATAACCTACAATGGTGACCATGGTTGTCCACAGAGGCCCAGTGGGAATTTCTCCCGCAAGATCACTTCTCCCTCCTCTTCCAACCTACTAACTTTATCCTTATACCTGATGTCCCCGTTTTCTCACAGCCCTAGATACCTCTCATAAAACCCTAAAGTTCCCTAAACCCTCTGGCCCCTGCTATAAATGTCCACCCCCTAAACCCT